TGAACCAAGAGATGACAATTTTGTAGTATTAGCCACTGAACCAAGAGATGACAATTTTGTAGTATTAGCCACTGAACCAAGAGATGACAATTTTGTAGTATTAGCCACTGAACCAAGAGATGACAATTTTGTGGTATTAGCCACTGAACCAAGAGATGTACAATTTTGTGGTATTAGCCACTGAACCAAGAGGTAACAATTTTGTAGTATTATCCACTGAACCAAGAGATGACAGTTTTGTAGTATTAGCCACTGAACCAAGAGATGACAATTTTGTAGTATTAGCCACTAAACCAAGAGGTAACAATTTTGTAGTATTAACCAATTGACTAAGAGTGCATTGTTAGCTTTGTATATGTATTTAAGACTAACCTGAATCCCTTAAGCTCTGTACGCCTCATGAGATATTATAGCGTTTATGGGTAAAAATACTGTATCCAACTAATGAAATGATGCTTTCTCACCTTTATAAGAGATACATAATTATATTTAATTAACTATACTGACAGCCAGGTTAATGTCTACATTAGTATGTAGCTTACTCCAATCAGAAGTTATTATTACATCCATAATAAAATTGATCATTACGACAGTTACGTTAAAATTGACTTGTCACTGTAGTTTGCTTATTCCACATTTTATTTTCTACGAGTTTATAGGTTTACTTGTACTAGAATAAAGGATCAGAAACTTATTTAATATATCATGTACTCATTGTACAAGACTTTGAATTTTATTCTCAAACTTTTACAGCATTAATCACTTCACAACTTACAAAATTTATATATTTAAAACACTAGAACACTAAGTGAAGCATATCATTTAAAAAATATTTGGTAAGGCTTAAGATTGAGAAATAATTGTGCCAGTTTTTACTTTTTTTACAGACTGTTTGTAGTTGCCAGACTTTTATTATCATACTTTTCTTTCAATCATTATGAATATTTTTCTTATTACACAATAACTTGAGCAAAAATGTCAGCCATTTTTGGCAATCACTGTATTCAAATTTTGAAAAAAACCTACGTTTTTTGAGCAAATCCATTTGTGTTATAATATACAAAATATATGAATTACACAAACAGTTCCTGTTAAATATAAATTACAAAATCTAATGAAGATTTCTTATATATTCCTTTGACTTTAGTGTCAAACCCAGTCACAGTTCGTATATTATTAGGTCACTGTTTCGATTTTGACATCTCTTAAGTGACAGGTACTTTGAGTTGACTGCTTATATACATAATTCAGTTAAGGACTATTATTCTGTTCAGTCAGAATGATGTTTTATATCAAACTATAGACTTTACCTTAATAGAAAATGTCAAGCAAATGTTAATTTGATCTTACAGTATTTTTTAACCGTAAGATTAGTGACTATACATTTTTAATTCCACAAAAAAAGGGATATCAGACAAGACTGAACTAGTGAAACCAGAAACATTCCATGTAAAACACTAAGTGTTCATACAAAATTTTCCACATCTTTGCCAACTTGGAAGTATGTTCTGACAAACAACAGTTGCTTTGATAATCCACAGCAAGAAAAAAAAAATCAAAATAAGTAGAGTTTCGAAACAGAAAGGTGGATACAGGAGAGTCAAGACTTCCCCTTTTTTCAGAGAAAAATATATATACATGTAAAAGTAAAAGTACAAGACTGTTACTCAGTTTTTAATGTTCTAAAATAAGCAATAATTAGGCTATACTATTAATGAAACTTGGAATGGTGTATCCCTTGTTATTGGTGTTTTTAAAACAATGATGATATATTCATTTCATTAATTAACATAAGATTAAAGAATTAAGAATTAGTGCTAGGTCCTACATTAAACTTATATTCTGGTATGGACTCCTTTTAGATTCTTTTTGATACACTACACAAAATAATATTAACCTCTGAAACATTATTTTTGATTTATTATATCAAATGTATATACGACAGCTTTATCACAATTGTCTTGTTTTAATTACAAAAAACACATCACAACCTTGCAGTTACAAATAAAAGGGTGGCAAAATTTATTAACATAAAACATGAAATAGGTTTTGTGACCAGCAAGATTTATTGATTTCCGAGCTAAAAAGTTTCATTACTGTCACATTCTCTTTGCCAGTGTCCGAACACTTCACAGTTCTCACAGTATGGCCGTTCCTGGTGTCTTTCACCGTGGTGTTGTGAGTGTGAAACCTCTTCCATAACTTGCTGAGGGCAGTCTTCTGTGTCGTGGAGATCAAAGATGTCGCAGATGTCACAAAATAACCGTGGAGGGATTACTGCTTTGATTCCATTTCTATTGTCAATAAAATAAGAAATTGGCAAATTCTATTAAACAGCACAGCAATTAAACAAACGTTTCAAGAATTGTATAAAATCTGTAACAAGTAATTCAACATAGTTCAATCAAAGGTTTGATCTTTTAAGTTTTAGACTCTTCATGAAGATGGATTTGTGTGTGTTTGTTGAAGTTTCTGGAAAGATAATTGAGGACTTGCCTGTGCTAATCATTCCTAATGATATACCAGAGAGAAGGCGGCTAATCAACAGCACCCACCGCTACCTCTTTGACTACTTAAATCAAATAGTAGGATTGACTGTCACATTATAACCCTTTCATGGCTGAATGGATGAGCATATTTGGTGATGGGAGTCAAACCCACAGATTACGAGTTTGTTTGTTTGTAGTTAAGCCCCAAACCCCTCAGAATTATCTCTTAAATCCCTTCAGGGTTCATGAACCACAGGTTGGGAAACACTGATCTGAAAGAACACACTAGAACACATCATAATAATATTGTTGCAAACTACAGTTTCAATTGTTTAATTCTTATGTTAGCTAGAAAGCATATGGCACTGAGATCAAGCAAGTTCACAGCATAGGCCTAGAAAGTCCTAAATTTGATGTCACAAAAAATCTAGTAAGTGAAGCATTAAGTCAGTGATTATTCTGCTCTCAGTTAGTGGTAAGTAGTGAATGAATATTGAGTCAGTTTAGTCCAGTAAAGTATTTGGATCAACATCAGCTATTCATTGATTCTGTTACTTGATTGATTAGATATGAAATTGTACCAGTAAGTTTATTTTCTTAAGTTAGTTATAGTACATTAGCGAGGTATTTCCTTTTGAACCTCATAGGTAAACATAGGTTTAAATGTTACAAAAGTGTACAAGCTTTTAGAAATGTTAAGGACGAAATAAACTAATTTGTTATCTTTATACAAACTGGACTTATTTTCCCCAGAAAACTTAAAGGAACCCACAGAATGAAAGAACTATGTTCTCTTTTAAGACAAAGTACAATTTTGTTTATGTTCCTAATGATTGGTGTAGAGAGTTGTCAAAATACCATACTTACAAATTCAGATCTCCATCATCCTGAATTTCTCCAGTTTCTAGGATCTTTAATTTGGATTTTAATTCATCATTCTTCCTTTGCACGTCCACAATCACAGAGTTCAAAAACTCTATCTGTAAGCACCAGAGGTTAAAAATTAAGAGATGACATGCTCAAAAAAATTCAAATACTAACTGTATAAGATATAGCTATATTACTGTAACAAGTAGTTGAAATTTTAGTACTTAAGACTATAATAAGCTGTATTAAAATGTTGATCAAAATGGCAATTTATACAGTTTTTTTTTTTCGTTTCCTTCAGCTAATCTTTATTTGGTAGCCTGTTAAAGAACAACAGAGGATCATCTCTTGCTGTTTTTATGAAGGCATACAGGAGTGTTTAATATATTGAGATAAAGGAGAGTTCAAATACTTTAACAATTACAAGAAGATAGTTTGAATGATAAATTTCAACGTAAGAACTTATTAACTTTCACTGACATGAAGTGAGAGTGTTTAGAATACTTGTTTTTAACGACTACAAGAGAATAGTTTCAATAATAAATTTCAATGTAAGTTTATGTTTACCTTCAGTGATACAATATTGTGTAGATTATTAAAGGTTTTAATCGAACAAGAGTTGATTAGTTAATTTTAATTATTTATAATTTCAATGAATAATTAGGTAGTATTGGCATTTCATTTGCTGTATTCTTGAGTTGTGTGTTTGTATAGAACTATTATACAAGAGTTATACCCAAAACATAAGAACCAAGATTACCTGAACGTCTTTCATTTCCACTCTGAAACTGTACTCTGGACAGTTCTTGTGAAATATACACTGGACTGTGACAAAAAAAACAACAAACTAAACACAATAAGCTTTGGTGAATCCCATCAAGACACCAGGGAATTATCTTATTTTTATTTTTTACCTGTACTTCCAAAGCTTCTTTATCTTCTTGGATTTTCTTAGATTCTGATCCTGCAACATTGAATAAATATTTAATTTTTTCCAGAATGGATTTTGAATCAGTAAGTGTTTAAGCTACCACATAAATTATAAGAAAAAAATTAGTATATTTCGAAAAACTTGTGTAATTAGTCGTGGAAAATTCCAAAATAGTGACACTCAACAGATTTCCTTCTTAGTGTTATAGGTTCGTATATATCAATCACATTCACTATGCATGAACTCTAGAAATTAGTAAGTAACGAAGTCACTAGTGTATCAAAAATCTTGAGTATCCAATGTAATAATGATCATAACTTTGAAAAAATACAAAACCACGTCTCCGAACTACAACCAAATACTCAAAACCAGTGCCTTCAGAAGCACTTTGTAGTAATCCAGTTATTGTTGAAAAAAAAGTACCACATTCAAAAGCAGTTTATAGTGCTTATTAACAACTATGAGAAGCTTTATATATGCGACACATAACGAAAACATTAAGAATCCTCTACTAACTGGGATTGGATGGATAAGATTATCTATCATTCCTAATGGAACTAACAATCCTCTACTAACTAGGATTGGATGGATAAGATTATCTATCATTCTTAACGGAACTAAGAATCCTCTACTAACTAGGATTAGATGGATAAGATTATCTATCATTCTTAACAGAACTAAGAATCCTCTACTAACTAGGATTGGAT